GAGGAGGAGGAGGAGGCGCGCGTGATGGGGGCGGAGGTGGGCGTGGAGGCCCGCCAAGCGGCGCTGGAGGCCTTCGCCGCGCGCCGCGCCAGGGCCTTCCTGCAGGAGCGCACCCTGCGCCTGGACCTCACGCCCTGGCTCAAGAGCCTGGCGGAGCGCGCGCGCGCCCTCGTCGCCCACATCCCGCCCGAGGTGCGACAGCAGGTCGTCGACTTCGCCGCCGCCGAAGGTGAGTCTCTGCACGCATAGGCGTCATCATGTTACAAAGCACTCCTAAGTTACCACAGGGCAATCACTGACGTGCTTTGGGCAATCCTGACATTCACAATGCTAAATCAAAATTGTCTAAATATCTTAATTCACAGAAAATCGCATTGTTTATATTGTAATGTTTATAATATTTAATGCATCTTTATTCCTAAATTTGGTTTCTTTCTCTTGAATCATTATTGCTCGTTAAACAACTATCTTCATGTCAACGACGTCACATGTCAAACATGAAGTATAATTCTTTTGGTAAGCTATTAGTAGAATTGTCATACTAAATGTGATGCCATGGACGGTTGAGATCGTAAACACACCTACAATGTAGCAACATAATTTATATATAAACTGTATTCAAATGTTTTTTACATTTTATTTACATCCCGTTACATACTTTAAAAGTTCTAAATCGTTTGAAACTGCCTGCCTTTTTATTTGGACAAACCTAACTGTAAGAGATTCAATTGAAAGTAAATTAATTGAAAGTTTTTGCAAAAATAAATATATGTACTAATCAAGTAAATATTAATTAAAACCAAAAGTTCTAAACCAAATAACCAAATAAAAATGTTTAAAAACGAGGTATAAAATTAAAACGAATTTACTATCATTTACGGATAAATTACGCAAAATCTAATGCAATCGTTTTTTATCATCCGAGATGTTATGTTGTACTCTTCTTTTCAGCAAGTTTTACATCCCGTCCATACTAATTATGTAATCTGCCAGGAATGCAGGTATACGGATATTAAATACAGGTTTTAATGGACGACAATTACATAAGATAAAAAACGTAATGGGAAAAACATATCAAAGTGGAATACTCTAATAGCTCTAACGAGAAACCAACCAACAAGACTAAACGAAAGAAAGGTACGATACGTCCAAAGGGGTAAAAATGACTATTATATACACACATGTACATGAAGTACACGTATTGAATAAATAATGCCATACCTACAAAGAAATCTAAATCAGCAAGATTTGATTTATGACAAAAGTTACTGAAAAGCATACAACGGGTAGAATACCAAATTAATTAAAATATTGTTCAGAATAGAACACCATAATACCGCATGGATAAACAAATTCACGGACTCTATGAGGCAGCAAAATGGTCTTATTAAGGAATGAATTATGCCATTCATGCGTAAACAATTTGCATTCATAGAATAAACAAAGAAAAGAAAATTATTTCATTAAAAGATATCTGGACATGGATAAAAATACTATATAGAGTAAAAACAAATTATTTGTAAAGAAGACTGCAGCTTAAAGATTAATAATAAAGCACTAAGAGTGATAAAAATAATTGCAAATTAAATGTATTCACAATGGAATCAAACAAAAAGAAAGAAACCAAACTTAGAATAATATTAAAGAACGTGTAATATTTTCAATCGCGTAGACATAAATATTATGTCTCTTCTTAAATAAAAGGTCTTCACAAATGAAAGCAAGTAGAGTAAACATTATGACTCTTTTTTTGCGTTCGCCTGTCATTACAGTCCTTTACATTAACGACTAACACAATACTTCAGTTGACTGCATAGAAGTAACCGTCCATAAATTGTGAAACAACTTAACGTAGTAATACAGACACACATGACGTAATACGTTTATGCACTAATCCGTTGATTGTATCAACAGTTTTAAACTTCCCCGCGAAGATATTTCAGTTAATATCTGTAGTCAAAATAGTCATCTTTACATTGGCTCAATACTCACAGAACTCTGTTTCATATTTTTACTTTAAAAATAAAGTAAATATAGCATTACATTTCTTTAGAAAAGTGATGTTTAATTACCCAGAAACGATGAGAAAGTAATACGAAATTGAAGAAAGTAATCTTTGAAATGATTCACCCACCAACCGACGATTGTAATGTCACGCAAAACTTGTCTAAAAATATAATGGAATAAAACGACTGACATGTAATCTGACGAGTTGCGCTGCAAAACATTTGTTAACTACAAAAGTCTCCGTCAATTTTCAAACATGTGCATGATACTACTCAGGGAGCGTTGAAAAGTTGACGCGACGAAACAGTAACATGAAACAAGATAGCAATGACTCCAACACCTGCAACAAGACTTCAAAAAACTGAACAAAATATGTAATTATCAGAAAGTTTGAAATTCAGAGAAAAGTCAGTACTGTCTGTCGTTCGCTGACAGCAGAATTACATATGTGATGACGGTCTAATTACAATGATGATCGATAATATATGTAATCAATTAGAATATGTAAGGGTTGGAGGAATAATAGAGCAAACACGAGAATCCGAAGAAAACTTGTTTCAAATCTCCTTTATTCACATTCATCAATCAACTCTGATAGCCAGGTGTAAGCGAGCTGGCTACTACGCGACCAGTAACAGGAAGGAGAAAAAAAACACTTGCAAGGAGAGCAGGGCCGGGAGCCCGCATACCGGATGATTTCAAGAAAGCCAAGAGTCTCATCTAATTCCCACGTGGTCCGAACTAATAGATTATTTCATGTTTTCGGAGCGTCAACGCTATGCTCATTAGTACAGTAAGTGTAGTGCATGTTTCTTATCATGGAAGGGGGCGATGATCTTGTCCCGCTGGATGGGGAGGTCTGATGCTGACCTACACGTCGGCTTGCGGGGGTTTCCCTCACCAAAATATCTCTCACCTGCTGGTTCTACCTCAGTTGGGATAAAATCTATGCTCCCGACTGGTCTTCGGATATGTGAGGCTGTAAAATGGTTGTAAATGTACGTGTATGTAAGTAAGGAGTATGGGCAGGACAAGAAAGAGGAAGGAAAAACCGTGCGCGGTCTGCGGCCCGCTTTATAGATTACTGCTCCTGCATTCACCTGGTGCTGATTGGAAAACTGCCATTCAAAGCACCCGGTCGCTAGAATTCTCCGCCTGTGAATTCAACCTAGCTAGTGTCACACAATCGTCGCATCATGGGGACTCTAACCCTAGATCAGAGGTTCTGCAGCAACATCTCTTGATGCCCTGAGCCACCTACGCCGGTGGTAGAGCGGCCTTCGTAAAATCTAAACTCTCTTTCTTCATCCACCGAACTTTCCTGTCGTCATTCAGCCCCAGTGGCACGTAATAGGATCGGACACCTCATTGGCAAGCAAACCGTTCCAGTCGATGGACCGGCCCGTCAGCTCCCGTCTGGGCGCTGCGGCCGGCTCCCAGCTGCCGGGCGGGCGTCCCGGACCCTGACCGCACACGCCGCGGCCCCGATTGAGACCCAACCCGACCCGACTCGGACCCGATTCAAACCCGGGAACTGGAGCGACTGTTTCAGGAGAGACACAAACCGTGTTCTCGCCAAGTTTGCTGATCAAATTTTAACCTCCGGTAACTTGAAATTGTTCGTACACGATCATATTTTGTAACCCATTCGCTTAAAAACAGGTTTTGTTCCGAACTTATCAAACTACCTAATTCTAAAATGACACTATTACATTCAAATACGTTTGTAATTGCTATGTAAAGGGATCAACACGTAACAGAATCTAAACACCGTAGCATTTCCTTTTAAATTTGACTATTCCACTCGTGAAAATAAAACCAATAGCGTTCAATTATAGATACAAAATGTTCCAATCAGGGAGGTGTGTACCAAATAGTTTATCACTTTTCCTATTCGATTTTTCTTACCGTTTCTATCTACTGGCCAATCATAAACTGACTCATCTCTCTTAGGAGGCGTTATAAACCGATCGCTATATTGATGTCCAATAAACAGTGTAGGTAACATAACCTCTGATTTTAACATACGCTTTCAGTTATTTTCGATATTTGGCGCTTTTTGGAACTGTAATGGACATAATTTCACTCGTGAAATAGACCTATTAAATATCACTCGTGCTTTGGAAATTCTGAGATAAATCCCTCCTTGCTTCACGAGTGAGAAATTTATCGACAATTTTCAAAGCACTTGTGGTATTGCCTGTGATAATCAATCAATGGTACGGTAGTGGCAATTCATAGCAGTATCTCATCGCACTCATCCTACGTACTATTACTTTATTTGAATTATTACATGACAAGCAATGTTTCAGGCAGCCATTGATCAACATTTCTCAGTTGATGAGTGGGTGCAGTTACAGTTTTGATTTGAAGCGAATAATCGTTTTGGAATATCCGTATGTAAAATACCATTGTCATTCTTCAGTCACGTATATGATATGCGTGAATTAAATCTGCTATTGGTTCCTTCGCAATCAAATTTGAAAAAATCTCCAAGTATCCTGCAGGAATTCCTCACCAGAATTTAAATATCAGAGCATCAGAGCATTTACATACTTGTAGTCAAATACATCATAAATAAATCATTTTCTTACACATAAATTTGTCATAAGCTGTCAGAAATGGTTACAAATCTATTTTGTTTTTTTCATTATTAGTTCGAGTATGATACATTAACCGTCCATAGACACAAAATTTCCAGAAATAACGTACTCTTATATTTTTACTAGAAACATGAACGATAATATTTGATAAACACCACCGTTGCTTGACACCCATGAAAGGAGGACCATTTGGACAGTTTCGAAAAAAATCATATGACCTAGTTAACGATGAAATAATTATATTTACGAGTAGTAAATAAGCTTAATAGCTGATGGATGACGAGACGGGACGCCAGATAACAAAATAAAACTTTTCATACTTCATGAGAAAATAAGACCGTAAATTTTATTCTCGTAGTTGGGCGATGTTCCAAGGCTAATTGCCAACCCACTCAGAAGATCCTCGAGAACATGAAATCATGCAGAAATATGTTGTCGGTAATTAACTATACAAAATAAATAAATAAATAATAAACATTTAATTCAATCGTGCATGAATAAGTCGTCGGTAATAACCTACACAAAACAAATAAAAATAATCGTTCAATTACAGAATGACCTTTCAAACAATGCTCACCAACTTGTTTCAATATATTTTTACGTGTGTTATTAAGTGATATGTATAAACCTGTGAATCATATACAATTGAAAGCACATATATTACACTAATAAGCATGTAGTGCACGAGAGTAAGAGTCTGAAGCAAATGGGTAGGTACGCATGAACGATTTAGAATGCAGCAAGAATGAAAATGATCTACCACAAAATGACAAAAAATAAGTACCGAGACCTGATATTCTAGGAATAATGACCACGTACGATGAGAACATCCAGACAGTAAGTTTCCCTAGGTCGTCAACAACACTAAAATACAATTTCATGAATAAACCATATTGTAGCAAATGCAGCATATTTTGCATATTTTTTACACAATCACGAATACAATTGAGAATGTATCATACCTTGGGTCAAAATTTGTTTCTATCTCCTGGGATAGGTACGTGTTTGACCGCCACCTGCAACTCTGACACACTGTGATACTCGTAATGCTGACCGCACAGGAATTCGTTGAGGTGTAAGAAAAGGTGGAAATTGCTAGGGGCGAGATCCGTGGTGTAGGATGATCATACGGTCGGATACACACCGCTCGGTTTCCAACACACCTTCAGCAACAGTTGCGCTGAGAGACGTTTGAACCGTTAACTAGGCCAACATGTGCTTTATCTGATACGATGGTTTGTTCATTATTTTTTTCTTTTTATTGACGACTGGGAAATTTATTTTCTAGATGCGTCTCGTGTACCACATCTTTTTTGATTGATTCATTAATTCATTCATACTTCATTTTTGTTGTTTTGCATCCTCGCAGGTCTGCAATTACATGAACTTAAGAGCAAGGTTTGAATTAGACAGTATCATAACGAGGAAAAAGAAGTATAAAATGAAAAGCATGATTAGTTTTATTGTGATATTTATTAAGCACTGAACTACTATTCAATCTGAAGGAAATGAGACGCAATGAACGCTATTTAGTGCATATTTTGTACAAAGTGTTTCAGATAAAACTCCATAATCTGTGAAATGGCTATCGAATGAAACCATGACATGTTTTGCTTCTATTGTGAATCTACAAAATTATGGCTAAAATCCTACAGCCGTAAAATTGATGTGACAATATTCACAAGAGAGAACATTGGCATCCGTTTGGATTTCCGCTTTAACCTACCTCGAAAATTACACTGCAAGGTCATGGTGGAAACAAAAAATCCGTGAAGCATTGCTGATGTATCTTCGTAATCAACGGGCAAGATTCAACTCAAGACATTTGCCTTCAAGATTTTACATAATTCAAATCTTTGGAGCAACTTCTTTCAAATGGAGCAAAGGATAAATACACATCTTTTTTTTCTCGATCATCAAAATATCTAAAACGATGTGGTCAATTTCTACATCACGCCAAACAATCCACTAAATCACAATCTCCCTACATACCAGCCACATGCGGTCAAGTGGTAGAGGCAAACCCTCCCGTTGGCAGCAATTTGCTACAAATCGGTTTATTGCTCCTCTCCAGGGCGGCTTCGCCTTCATTCCTCCAGCCAGCTCTGGTTGGAGTTCTCAGCAAACTCCGCCTTTACCAAACCGGCCGGAGCCTCGCGTTAGCAACGCAACACGGCCCCTACGCAGGTTGTTATACAAATAGAACACTCCGCAGTTTTCAATGTTACAATCAATTCCTACAGAATAGTCGTGGATTTCTGTTTTAATGCCAGTTCGAAACCCTATCAAGAACTATCAAGGTCGTATTAAGCTCCCATCAAGCTCCCATCAGGCTCCCATCAGGCTCCCATCAAGCTCCCATCAAGCTCCCATCAAGCTCCCATCAAGCTCCCATCAAGCTCCCATCAAGCTCCCATCAAGGTATGTGCGGGCAGCCAAACTTCTTAGCCAAGATCTGTGAAGAAACTTTCATTCATCCGCTCGCGGTTACGTCCGGGAACATCGATGCTAAGTGCGCTCATCCCCTGGCTTTTCCCCTGGCTAGTCCAACACTTCTGTACGCTGAAACTAGCTGAAATTGGGTTTAAAGAGCGCCTTGGGGATGGCTTAACCTTCTTGCTCTTTACTTCGCTCTAGATAGAGGTCTTAGCACCTTCACCATCGCCCAGCTACCCTTAGAAGCGTGTTCGCTGTGGGTCGCAGTCAGTCGATGTTCTCAATTGCTACCCAATTATAATTGGCGTACGTTAAAATGCAATTGGCAAATCCGGTCAAGGGCTACATTACAAGCAAGCGTATCCGCAGTTTTAAACTGGTTAATATTCAGTTTATGAGTACTACGCATCTCAGAGAACGCTTCCCTTCTTTCACTGCAGCGCAGACTTGCTATATGGAGGTCGCTGGTGTGAATCCGCTTTACCCAGCCACCCGAAGCAAAGGTTTGTATTGCAACCAGCCTCAACCGCAGGGAAATATACAACTTGTATAAGCAACCCGGACGTTTGAAGTCAATAGTTGCACCAACATAGCTTCAACTAAATGCTAATGAAATTCAGTCAAGGGCCACATTGTGAGTAAACGCTCCATTACACTAAATCCAATAAAAATCTAATTAATGTGCATTTCCAGAAGTCCCTCATCTTTCTCTCCATCTCTCTCTAAATAAAGGTCGCAGAGCATGAAGGTCGCAGTCCTCCGGGGGTTTCAATGGAATACAAAGTTGCTACTCAATATTACTCGACTTCTTTTGAAATGTACAATGTGTACCCTGTTTAAAGAAGATACATTGTTAAAAAAAAAGTCCCGTTGGCCGAAACTGACTACAATTCTGTTTCCTCTGGCTACGCATCTGCGGGAAAGCATCGCCTTCCTCCCCTCCTCTAAGCTCTAGATGGAGGTCACGCTGGCAGCAGCGTCTAGGATCCGGGGCGTTGCGTTCGCACCGTGGCCTATCCCGCCCCTCGGGCCACTCCCTGCCGCCCCCCCCTCCGCATCCGCTCGGCCTGGAATTCGGAACTGCCCACTGACGCAACC